AGTAATTGTGGTAGGGGACCTGAATGCTAAAGTAGGAGAAATTTTTAGAGAGGGTGTGGTAGGTAAGTTTGGGGTGCCAGGTGTAAATGATAATGGGAGCCCTATGATTGAACTTTGTATAGAAAGGGGTTTAGTTATAGGTAATACAGTGGACCCCCGCATAGCGAACGCCTTGCATAGCGAACAATCCGCATAGCGAACGCTTTGTTCGCCAAAATTTTGCCCCGCATAGTGGACAAAAACCCGCTCAGCGACCTTCGTCCGAGACGCGTCCATTGTTTACCAGCCAGCCTCCGCGGTAACATTCAAGCATACACTCGGAATATTTCGTATTATTACAGTGTTTTCGGTGCTGTTTCTGGAAAATAAGTGACCATGGGCCCCAAGAAAGCTTCTAGTGCCAACCCTGTGGTTAAAAAGGGTGAGAATTAGTATGGAAATTAAGAAGATTTTTAAGGGTTTGGGGCTAAACCCCGAGAAGCCTATGCCAGTTGTGGAATCCATTGTGCCTACTTCAAAAATTAAGGAAATGTGTGCACAGTGGGTTGAACTGCCCAAAACCCTTTTTGGATGAAAATCACCCTGACACAGCTGTTGCAAGCCGTGCTGGTGACTATTTCAATGACAATGTTATGGCCCATTTTAGACAAATCGTAAAGGAACGGGAGGTACAGAGCTCTATGGACAGATTTGTTGTGCGACAGAGGTCCAGTGACTCTGAAGCTGGTCCTAGTGGCATTAAAAGAAGAAGGGAAGTAACCCGGAAAAGGACTTGCTACCTCAAGTCCCAATGGAAGGGGATCCCTTCTAACACTAACAGCTCTCTTCCCTCCTCCATCCTCAATCATCACCAGATCTATCAATAAAAGTATGTGTCAGTATGGAATTGTGGAATGCCATTTATTTCAGTTTGGTGTGGGGACTAATAATTACACCTGGAGAGAGGTCGGGAAAAAAATTTTGATTTTAACTTTAGGAGTTGCATGAGGATTAATTGTGTAGGTACCATGATTCTAAATGGGAGAAATTTAAATTGGCTAGGTAATTTGGGCTAGCCAGCCTCTATGTAACGGACTATGTTGCTTTATGAAGGGGGTCACATGGGAATACATATTTTAAGAAAAAGAGGATAAATAAGTATACAAGATATGATGTAGGGCGAAATGACAGTAGTTTGTTGGATTATGTATTGGTAGATAAAAGACTGTTGAGTAGACTTCAGGATGTACATGTTTATAGAGGGGCCACAGATATATCAGATCACTTTCTAGTTGTAGCTACACTGAGAGTAAAAGGTAGATGGGATACAAGGAGAATAGAAGCATCAGGGAAGAGAGAGGTGAAGGTTTATAAACTAAAAGAGGAGGCAGTTAGGGAAAGATATAAACAGCTATTGGAGGATAGATGGGCTAATGAGAGCATAGGCAATGGGGTCAAGAGGTATGGGGTAGGTTTAAAAATGTAGTGTTAGAGTGTTCAGCAGAAGTTTGTGGTTACAGGAAAGTGGGTGCGGGAGGGAAGAGGAGCGATTGGTGGAATGATGATGTAAAGAGAGTAGTAAGGGAGAAAAAAGTTAGCATATGAGAATTTTTTACAAAGTAGAAGTGATGCAAGGAGGGAAGAGTATATGGAGAAAAAGTGTGAGGTTAAGAGAGTGGTGAAGCAATGTAAAAAGAGAGCAAATGAGAGAGTGGGTGAGATGTTATCAACAAATTTTGTTGAAAATAAGAAAAAGTTTTGGAGTGAGATTAACAAGTTAAGGAAGCCTAGAGAACAAATGGATTTGTCAGTTAAAAATAGGAGAGGAGAGTTATTAAATGGAGAGTTAGAGGTATTGGGAAGATGGAGGGAATATTTTGAGGAATTGTTAAATGTTGATGAAGATAGGGAAGCTGTGATTTCGTGTATAGGGCAAGGAGGAATAACATCCTGTAGGAGTGAGGAAGAGCCAGTTGTGAGTGTGGGGGAAGTTCGTGAGGCAGTAGGTAAAATGAAAGGGGGGTAAGGCAGCCGGGATTGATGGGATAAAGATAGAAATGTTAAAAGCAGGTGGGGATATAGTTTTGGAGTGGTTGGTGCAATTATTTAATAAATGTATGGAAGAGGGTAAGGTACCTAGGGATTGGCAGAGAGCATGCATAGTTCCTTTGTATAAAGGCAAAGGGGACAAAAGAGAGTGCAAAAATTATAGGGGGATAAGTCTGTTGAGTATACCTGGTAAAGTGTATGGTAGAGTTATTATTGAAAGAATTAAAAGTAAGACTGAGAATAGGATAGCAGATGAACAAGGAGGCTTTAGGAAAGGTAGAGGGTGTGTGGACCAGGTGTTTACTGTGAAACATATAAGTGAACAGTATTTAGATAAGGCTAAAGAGGTCTTTGTGGCATTTATGGATTTGGAAAAGGCATATGACAGGGTGGATAGGGGGGCAATGTGGCAGATGTTGCAGGTGTATGGTGTAGGAGGTAGGTCACTGAATGCAGTGAAGAGTTTTTACGAGGATAGTGAGGTTCAAGTTAGAGTACATAGGAAAGAGGGAAATTATTTCCCAGTAAAAGTAGGCCTTAGACAGGGATGTGTGATGTCACCATGGTTGTTTAATATATTTATAGATGGGGTTGTAAGAGAAGTAAATGCGAGGGTCTTGACAAGAGGCGTGGAGTTAAAAGATAAAGAATCACACATAAAGTGGGAGTTGTCACAGTTGCTCTTTGCTGATGACACTGTGCTCTTGGGAGATTCTGAAGAGAAGTTGCAGAGATTGGTGGATGAATTTGGTAGGGTGTGCAAAAGAAGAAAATTAAAAGTGAATACAGGAAAGAGTAAGGTTATGAGGATAACAAAAATATTAGGTGATGAAAGATTGGATATCAGATTGGAGGGAGAGAGTATGGAGGAAGTGAATGTATTCAGATATTTGGGAGTGGACGTGTCAACGGATGGGTCTATGAAGGATGAGGTGAATCATAGAATTGATGAGGGGAAAAGGGTGAGTGGTGCACTTAGGAGTCTGTGGAGACAAAGAACTTTGTCCTTGGAGGCAAAGAGGGGAATGTATGAGAGTATAGTTTTACCAACACTCTTATATGGGTGTGAAGCATGGGTGATGAATGTTGCAGCGAGGAGAAGGCTGGAGGCAGTGGAGATGTCATGTCTGAGGGCAACGTGTGGTGTGAATATAATGCAGAGAATTCGTAGTTTGGAAGTTAGGAGGAGGTGCGGGATTACCAAAACTGTTGTCCAGAGGGCTGAGGAAGGGTTGTTGAGGTGGTTCGGACATGTAGAGAGAATGGAGCGAAACAGAAGGAAGGCAGGATAGGGGTCGGCCTAGGAAAAGTTGGAGGGAGGGGGTAAAGGAGGTTTTGTGTGCGAGGGGCTTGGACTTCCAGCAGGCGTGCGTGAGCGTGTTTGATAGGAGTGAATGGAGACGAATGGTTTTTAATACTTGACGTGCTGTTGGAGTGTGAGCAAAGTAACATTTATGAAGGGGTTCAGGGAAACCGGCAGGCCGGACTTGAGTCCTGGAGATGGGAAGTACAGTGCCTGCACTCTTAAGGAGGGGTGTTAATGTTGCAGTTTAAAAACTGTAGTGTACAGCACCCTTCTGGCAAGACAGTGATGGAGTGAATGATGGTGAAAGTTTTTCTTTTTCGGGCCACCCTGCCTTAGTGGGAATCGGCCAGTGTGATAATAAATAAAAAAAAAAAATGTAAAAGAAAATTTAAAATGAATATAGGAAAGACTAAGGTTATGAGGATAAAAAAATTAGGTAATGAAAGACTGGATATCAGACTGGAGGGAGAGAGTATGGAGAAGGTGAATGTATTCAGATATTTAGGAGTGGACGTGTCAGCAGATGGGTCTATGAAAGATAACGTGAATCAGAATTGACAGGGGGGAAAAAGGTGAGTGGTGCACTTAGGAGTCTGTGGAGACAAAGAACTTTTTCCATGGAAGCAGAGAGAGGAATGTATAAGAGTACAGTTATACTAATGCTCTTATATGGGTGCAAAGCATGGGTGGTGAATGTTGCAACAAGGAGAAGGCTGGAGGCAGTGGAGATGTCGTGTCTGAGGGCAATGTGTGGTGTGAATATAATGCAGAGAATTCGTAGTTTGCAAATTAGGAGGTGTGGGCTTACCAAAACTATTATCCAGAAAGCCAATTAAGGGATGTTGAGGTGGTTTGGACACGTAGAGAGAATGGAACAAAATAGAATGACTTCGAGTATATAAATTTGTAGTGGAGCGAAGGCAGGGTAGAGGTCGGCCTACAAAAGGTTGGAGGGAGGGGGTAAAGTTGGTTTTGTGTGCAAGGGGCTTGGACTTCCAGCCAGCATGTGTGAGTATGTTAGATAGGAGCGAATGGAAACAAATGGTTTTTAGGACTTGACGTGCTGTTGGAGTGTGAGCAGGGTAATGCTTATGAAGGGATTCAGGGAAACCAGCATGCCCAACTTGAGTCCTGGATATAGGAAGTATAGTGCCTGCACTCTGAAGAACGGGTGTTAATGTTGCAGTTTTATAACTGTAGTGTTAGTATGCTTTTGGCACGACAGTGATGAAGTGAATGATGGTGAAAGTTTTTCTTCTTCGGGTCACCCTACCTTGGTGGGAGGTGGCCGATGTGTTAGAAAAAAAAATTAAACAGCATTTTGTAATGTGTAACTATGTAGGTGATTACTTACTGAATACATCTCTACTACAATTCTGTAATATATCATAGGCCATTCATGTTCTGTTATATGCATACTGTACTGTCTTTAAGAGGGAACTTGCCAATTTACTTCAATTTCTGATCATACATGCTGTGGTATATATATGCCTGACTGACCATGTCAACAATATGGAGGCCTGGTTTAGAGTTGAACCAATGATCCCCCAGAAACATCAACAGATTGTCATGCAAAAACAACCAGTGAAATAACTTCATTTGTTTTAGTATCTGAAAGCAGTAATCATGCAATCATTATAACAGACAACTATAGGGGATAACTCACCACACATCTGATCATAACATGAGTAACTTTATCATCAGTGCGCACAGACAAAACATAGTCTCCAGGCTTACTCTGCGATTCTCGCACTAAAAAACTACCATTCTTGCCCTTCTCAAGAATAAGTTTTTCTGCTTCACGGCCAGAAAGATGACCATGGAACCACCTGTTAACATTTACAGTATTAGAATTTTTTAGATTGTTTACCTTCTCATTGTAAAGGCTATCAGTTTTAAAATGTTATTTAAACAGTATTACTGAAAAACAATAAAATGATTTGTTAAAAATTTCTGTATGATTTTTTCACCCTGGAAGATCCTGAAATAAAGCATTCTATCTACATAATTACAACAAAAAATAAATTATATACAGTACTATACCTAAAAAAATTTAAATACAAAATATCTATGATACAGTACGTATACAGTATTTCACTACAAAACCTACGTCAACAAAATGTACATTATTTCTGCGCAAAATTAATGGAGGCAAAATTATTATATATTTCAATACACTAATAAAGGTAAACAAAAAATGTTTAATACAAACCTTTCGGTTGTGGGGTCCGCACAGTTTAGAGGAAACTTGAGCTCAATAACTTCTCCATTTTTTTCTCGCAGTTGACCCTGGTTTTCCATATAAAACTGCACCAGCTCAGCCAAAGTTGCAAACTTTTCTCCTCCATATAAGTCATAAAAGTCACCCATATTTTGGATTTTTATATGAGTTACTTCACCATTTCGGCTGAAATAAAAACTGATATGTAAAGAGCTACATTATCAACTTTAACAAGTGTTAATCAGTGGTGCAAATATCCTTCCATCCTCTGGAATAAAAGGAGAGGAGCCAAGGTCTGTTTCTTATATTCTTAAGTGCATTCTCAGCCTATCAAATTTCAAAAAAATAATTATGCACAAAAGAAGAGTAAAATATCCCCTTTAATTTTTCACTCACTCTCCGATCATACAGTATATGGGGAATTGGAGGTATGGGTATTAGGGGGAAGCCAGGTTTGATCCAAAGGTACACAGTAGCTCTAATTCCTTGGAGCTACTGTGTACCTTGGAGCTACTGTGCCAGCATCATGGCACCTCCATCCCTAAAAGGTTCATTAAACATGAAAATTCACCCCAAGTGAGAAAATTACAAGCCTCAAATTAATTAATGTTATCACAATACTGTACATCATAAAACATACAGTATTTTATTAGTTGCTTCACATTTTTGCACATCTGAATTAAAAACAATGTCAGAGCGTAACAATGTTTTATTGTAAAGTACAGCATATCTACTGTGCAAAGCTAGAATAACCACACACACTTCATCATTATTGTCATAAATATGTACAAAAATTCATATACAGTGGTACCTTGACTTACGAGTGCCCCAACTTCGAGTTTTCTGAGTTACAAGCCATCGCTCAGTCGATTTTTTGCTTTGAGCTGCAAGCCAAAATCTGAATTACGAGCAAGCTTCAGATACGCCACCACTAATTGGCAGCATATCTGAAGTACAAATCCAACTCTGTACCCAGAGGAATGTCAGGTCCTTTGTCCCATCCCACATGCTCTTCCAAGACATAACTGGAAGGATAATACTCCCACACTAATCCCAGATTGCAGTGAGGCACCTCGTCCCTTGTTGGGGTCTCATTTAAATCTGGGAAAGAGGTAACCTCCATTTCAACACGAAGAGTTTTTCCAGAAACATTAAGGTGGGTGGAGTACTGATAGTGGTGGGTAAAGTAGTGACGGTGGTTGGTGGAGTAGTGATGGTGGTGGGTTGAGTAGTGATAGTGGTGGGTAGAGTAGTAGTGATGGTGGTGGATGGAGTAGTGATAATGGTGAGTGGAGTAGTGATAATGGTGAGTGGAGTGGTGAGGGTGGTGGGTGTAGTAGAGATGGTGGTGGGTGGAGTAGTGAGGGTGGTGGATGGAGTACTGATAATGGTGGGTAGAGTAGTGAGGGTGGTGGGTGTAGTAGAGATGGTGGTGGGTGGAGTAGTGAGGGTGGTGGATGGAGTACTGATAATGGTGGGTGGAGTAGTGAAGGTGGTGGGTGGAGTATACAATATTTCTATTTTTATAAATACATTTTTCTTATTTAAAAACCCATAACAAAAAATTGGGGTGGTTTTATGAGGGGTAGAACAGATTAATGGCATTTCAATTAATTTCAATGAGGAAAATTGATTTGATATATGAGCAAATTGAGTTACGAGCTGGGTCACAGAATGAATTAAACTCTTAAGTCAAGGTACCACTGTACTGTATAAGCCATCAATAAATTAAACACTCATTAATCATTGCATTATTCAACTGTATTCCAAACAGATTTGATTGAAATGTATAATAATGAATATCATAATTAATGAAAGACAAAACTAATGCAACACTGAATATTCCCATCTTTTCCCTCTATAGATATTTTCTGACAGTACAATAACTGAATTTATTCTAAAAACATTCTTTATTCACACTGAATGTGTATCACTGTACCCTCTATTTACAAAGCACTTGACTATCTAAAAAGGCATCATTAAAACTAATATCAATGACAGCTCCTTAATTAATTTGCCAGTCACAGGAGTGGTGGTGGTGCAAAAACACATTACAGTACTTACCGTACTGAGAGTGTGAAGTCGCCAGGGTTGGATTTGGAAGGTCGAGCCAGGAAGGAGCCTTCGATACCCCGCTCCTTCAGGAGCACCTCCGCCTCCAGCCCCGACACATTCGGGTGGAACCATCTGCAGTTACAACATGTTGCTCTCATTACTATATACGTATTAACTATTCTAACAAATCAACTTACTGTGTATAAAGAGTGACACTTTAAATTCTCTGTGACTTTTCTTTAAAATATAAAATAATGTGTATCAAATTCACAAATTACAGACCAAAAGAAGATTAAAATATATTTTTAAACAATGCCATGAAAAAAAAACCTAAAGATGAGAAAATACAAATTTAAGTACATTGCACAACATGATAAAATAATAACCATGGAAATGAAGCTGCTGAGTTTGCGAGTCTAGTATTTATTGGTATGAATGCCAATGTTTACCTGTTGTGGCATTTCCACAAGCGTTTCATTACTGGAAGATTAATAAAGCGAGAGAACAGGAAAATAGAAAAAGTGGGGGTAAAAGACTGAAAGGAGAATACAGTGAGGGAAAATGGCACATGGTGAGGGATGGAGGTTGTGTAATAAAATAAAATGAACTGTCTTCATTGGCTTGGTATATTATATGGTATACAATTTCCTTTTTCACTTAATTATTTACTCTCACCCATTTAAACCACTGTAAAAATGAGACACAAAGAATGAACACGAATTTTAACATTACATTTAGTACAGATAAAATTAAATGAGTAAATGCGAGATAATGAGATAATATAACGAAGAATGGGGGTTAACATCAACACAGGTCAGGGCCATTACATTACCTGCCTTTCAACTTGATGGCAATCGCTTCAGTTGATCGTTTGGTGGCGCCCTGAGGCTGATGGTGGTGGTGGTGGTGGTGGTCAGAGCTGCTGGCCACACCACTAACCACCTTGTGGTACAATGTGTGCAGGCGGTTCCACATCTTGTGGGTCATCATGATGATGAGCCCAACACTCACACACCAATAATCCTGCTACTTTAATGCTGGGCTGCTCATTCCTTACAGTCTCTAAGTTAATGTAATGTCTCAAGACTTTCACATCCATTAATCACAGGCAACCAAGTCCTATTGTGGGACATGGGCTCATGGCTACAATTTTAATCCACAGAATATTTGAGTTCATAGAAAGTTCTCGTATTAAATGTAATTTCTAGCTACACATAAAATATATACACACATTAGCAGGATTACAAAGTAGGTATACAAGTTTTTTTTTTTACATTACAAAATATTTTTTTTCTTAAGGTCCACAGTCTTATTGACCTCGTGATTTTAATTTTATTCTGTAATAGTGGTCTTTTACTGCAATGTGTGCACTCTGTTGATTTGTTCCAAATTACAGTTCTTAAAATGATTTCCATCATCCAGCAGCAATAATTGCTTCAAATTTCAACAATTTGATGCTTAATAATTTTATCCTATCCTAGCAAGACAAAACTTCCGCATAACTACACAAAACATGTTCTTTCAGCACTCTTACATAAGAGTAGCATTTCAGACATTACTGCAGAAGGTTGTTTATACACTGAGAGGTGTTCATCTCTCAATAAGCTACTCAAGTCCCTATTTTAGGGTTCTAAGTGTTCTTCAATGATAGTATCCTGTTTTCCCAAAGACCAGTGTTAATGACCTCTAGTAGCCAAAATGCCTAAAGCAGAAAGCAGAAGCACTTCCACAATGCATTCACATCACAGTGGTGACGTGTGTAGGAGTTGTGTGCAAACAGTGTTAGGTTTTAAGCCTATCAATTGGATGCATGGCAATAAGTCTATATTCATATGCACACTAACATCAAAAATATTTTATTTCCTAAACAGAGATTCAAGTAAATTCTCAGTGTATGTACTGTACGAAGAGATATAAACACCTCTCGGTGTACATACTGAATATCAAACAGATCCCTAACTCATGTTTTTACTCAAGAGCAATACATAGAAGCCAATGAGCTCATTAAGGGTAACACAAATTGGTTTAATAAAAAGGAGTCATTGCAGAATACCAATATACACCTACCACTTACAATTACCAAAGAACTGATGGCACAATCATATGTTTATGAAATGTATAAAGGCAAAAAACTAGCAAAATTACAAATCCTGTGGAAAAAAATGCAATATTTTTAGGATATGTTTAATAGAAATATTTCAGCCCTGGGACTTAAGTCACTCCAAATATACATGAGGGTAGGAAAATCTATCTTATATAGTTGGGAAGACCCCCAAGTAGAATTAGGTCTGGCAGTATTTCATCTGACTCCTACGTTTGGTTGTGGGAGGGGCGAAGCTTGCTTGATCATATATGCCAGGGTGGCAGTAACAATGTGATTTTCCTTTTTGTGTGTGCGATTGTATGTATTATAACAGGAATTGGCAAACTTTTTTGGGTATTACCCCAAAGCAAATTTGTGTACAGCAAAATTAACCCAAAGCAAATTTGTGCACAGTGAAATTATCCACTAGATTTGAAAGTCCACAGAACCTGGAAAAACACAAGGAGTATTCAATTTCAAAACATGTAGTAGTTTACTGAATTCATTTGAATGGAGAATAGTCATACAAACTGAAATGTATGTATTATATGTAATAAAGCAACTTTGAAAATAAAACAAAATTAACAATATAATAAAATGAAAAATAAAATGCATGAAATAAAAATAACAGACAAATTTAGTAAAAATCTCATTGAGTAACTAAAGAATTTCATTGAAAACATTTTCACTTCAGGTTTTGGAGCAATGATGTTGTTTCATTTTTGATACATCAAAATTAGGGCTTTTTGATGTCAGAGCAATTTGGATACTGTCTTTGATGTTCAACCGATTTCTGGACTTGGTTTTTCAAGTTAATGAGAGTGGAAAATCCTTGTTTGCAAAGACAGTAGTTGCAAATGGCAGCAGTACAGTGGACCCCCGGATATCGGCCAGTGAAGGTATCGGCCAAATTGAATTTCGGCCACTTTTTTGGCTGAAATTCTATCCTGGATTTCAGCCAGCAACTCTGAAATTGGGCGTATTGGACGCGTAATAATAATCACTCTTGGGCACATTAAATGTCTTATTTTAGGTTAATAGAGACATTTTCATTAAGCCAACTATGATATTTTCTTCCAAATTTAACATATAGCATATGTGCTATCGAGTGGCAAGTACCGGCAAATCAAGGAGGGAGGGAGGAGGGTTCCCATTACGTTTTCTCTGATTCAGTTAGAGAAAACTGTGAATCTGGCATCTGGCCCAGTCACCGGCCTTCATATGTATTTGTTTACAATTCTCAGCATGAATTATTCATTACTTCTCCCATCGTGTATGATGGCATCTAAAGGTAGTTGTTAGAAACGATTAAACTCAATGAACATGGTATGTCAATGGTAATAATATGGCTGTGTAGTGTAACCCTGGGGGGCTACATACGTGTACCTACATCTACCGCTGCCTACACTTTCTACAAATAAATACTACTCACCTCTCGCCCTACATTAGGACTACAAATATTTTAAGGTAAATAATCAACAAACTGTGGCAGTAAATGACAAAGAATGGAAGTAACCCTAGAGAGGGTTTTGATATCTGAAGTTCTTAGGGTTTTGATATCTGAAGTCCTAAGGGTTTTGATATCTGAAGTCCTTAGGGTTTTGATATCTGAAGTACTCAGAATTCAGCAATTTGACCAATTTTACACCATTTTCAAAATTCCAATTTAAAAGCAGAGTCCAAGAGTCCAAAACACTGTAGGTATTCCAGCCACTTGAGCAATCTTTCCACTGTTCATTAATCACATTCCCAGACCTCTCTTATATAATACATGCCCTCCATTTAAAATTCACCATCCCTCCCAAACATGAGAGGTTTCTCCCCCATTTCTCTGCTAATAGCCATAACCAAAAATGCTTATCCAATGGTTTAGGCTGGGAAGGGGGACCTTTTCACTTATTCAGAAAAATCGCCAAACCTCGACCATTTCTGCCATGTCAAGGCCTTATCACATACTACTGCCGGTTTGAAACTGACCAAAATCTTCCTTCATTTTTCCAGTATAACAACTGGCACCAATATACCTTGAAAACAACCTAAAAAATGCCCCCCCACATTGCTATTTTAACCAAAACAATTAGTCAAGAGGTTTGCTGTTCCCATAGTGCACTACGTGGAGCAGGATAATTTGTTTTACTGTACACACCCACTACACAAATTTACTTTCTTATGTCTAGGCCAAAATTTGCCCTACTCAGCAAATCTGAGTGTGCTATGATTTATGAGTAGATCTACGGCAGTCACTGATCCATCCCAGTGACATAGATCTACATGACTGATAGTTTAAACGGTTAAATTCTGGCCAAAGTGCCAATCTGGAGAATGCTTGAAGTTTCTCAATTTGTCCTACTTGTAATACAAGAGAGAAAGATACCTCACAATTTATACCTGGAAAATTGTGGAGGGACTGGTCCCAAACCTGCACACCAAAATCACTTCCTACAAAAGACCTCAGTCCTGAAGAGAGAATTTGGTAAGTTCCTCAATTCAGTTCCTGCTCAGCCAGATTGTGGTGCATACAACATCCCAGTCAATTAGGCCAGCAACTAGCCTGATATACGACTAGGTTGTTGGGACAGCTAATTCCCCCCCCCCAAAAAAAATCGTCTTAGTTAATTCAAGTAATCCATCAAATGGTCTCTCTCTATATATCCCTGTGGACAACGCATGCACCGCTAAGGTTATCTTTACAGCACACATACTTATGTTCAATGACTTCACTGAGCAAATTCTTGAATGTTTCTCCTACGTAATTCTTCTTCACAGTGACCACACTTGATTGTGTGAACACCGGCAGTAGATGTAGGTGGTTGGTTGTTTATGTACAGGTTCCTGGTAAGTTTTTTGATGGACGTGAACACAGTCCTTGCCCTGTGGCAGCCGGGGTGTTCACGTCCATTAAGACAACACGTGCAGCTGACTGTTACATCGTTGCTTGGGAAGCTTATATGTCCTACTGGTGCGCTCCTTGGTAATGAATCGAAAAAGTAGCAGCCCACAGTAATGGGCAGATGCATGAAAATCCAGTTACCCAAAGGACACAGCAAAACTGCAATCAGATATCAACTGGTTTAGTGCATCCCCATCTGTATAATATTGATTATAACGTACAAACGTTGGTAAAATAACCAACGAGACATTTATTACGACTGCGCTTCGCTCTTAGAAAAAAGAAAAGTAGCCATAATAAATGCATCTAACTGCTCTTGTGTCCAACCACAACCTTCTACTACTACTAGCAATAATAGCCGATATCCATACGCCCACGGCAGATAAAGCACTGTACTCCTTATCGTGTCTGTTCCTCCGGTGACATTCACCAGCTAATCACCCTGACAACAGACATACACCTCCTCAAGACAGCACTATCACCTTTATGTCATCACTTCCTCCAGTGACGTAAAATTTCTACAAATTTCCGCAACCACTCAAGTTCAGGTATATCGTCACCCCTCCACTTTCTTCCTCTCGCTACTGACTAATAGTTTTCATGTCCCTTATTATCCTCTTAATTTCGCCTCTCGCTTTGCCTTATTTAGCTGCTGTCATGTCTTGATTCCCTATTGCCATTCCTTCTTTCCTTGTCGCCATTCCTTGTTTCCCTGTCGCCATTCCTTGCTTCCTTGTTGCCATTCCTTGCTTCCCTGTCGCCATTCCTTGCTTCCCTGTCGCCATTCCTTGTTTCCCTGTCGCCATTCCTTGCTTCCTTGTTGCCATTCCTTGCTTCCCTGTTGCCATTCCTTGCTTCCCTGTCGCCATTCCTTGTTCCTCTGTCGTCATTCCTTGCTTCCCTGTTGCCATTCCTTGCTTCCCTATCGCCATTCCTTGCTTCCCTATCGCCATTCCTTGCTTGTTTAAATTCTTGCTTCACTGTCGCCATTATTGTTTCAATGTTGTTCTTCCTTGTTTTCCTGTTGCTATACCTGCTTCCCTGTTGCTATTCCTGTTATCTGTTGATATTCATGCTGCTATCCCTATGTTGCTCTTCATGTTAACATGTCGTTCTTCATATTAACATGTTCTTCATATTAACATGTTCTCTCCATGTTAACATGTTGCTCTTCCTTTCAACCTGTTGCTAATATTATTTACCTGTCCTTTAATTAACATGCTGCTGTTGCGGTATCTTGCCCTCTTGCTTACTTCTGCCTCCCTCATTAAATATTCACCTCTGCCAATTTCCCTCCCTCTCTACTATTACCGTCCCTGCATATAATTACCCTCCTTGTCTACTGTTACTTTTCATCCCTGCCTCCTGTTAACCTCTATGCCTGTTGCCCTTTCTACCTTTGATATACCTTTGAAGAGTTTCGAGAGTTTATCTACTCTGAGCCCGGCCATGGGCCAGGCTCCTACTGTTACAATCCCTACCTCCCTACTGTAGTAGTAGTAGGAATAAAAGCAGTCGTCGTCGTCGATCAGGAAGAAATGATGACTGATGGTAAGTACTAAACCCGTAGG